ATGTTAGAAGCTGAGATGTCGCGGTCACTCTGTGTTGTTGTTTTACAGCGTTATCTGAGGAACTTGTTCCGGGTGATGCTGTCGTCCTCCAGCTCTCCTCTCAGAGCAGACGCAGACGGCGGTTTTCATCTCACCAAACACGCCATCTGTGAGTTCTCGCCATTCTTCAAAAAGGGCGTCTTCGAGTACAGCAGCCACGGCACCGGCTAACCTGACAGCAGAATTAGATTTTTGCCAAAACCAAAAGATAAAAAACTGCTCGGTGCCTTTTCTCCAGCGTCTCTGCTCAGGAGAATCTCCTCAGAAGGTCAAAGAAGGAAAAACGTGCAGGTCAGTTTCCTCTCCGCCCTCCCGTCATCCTGCGAGACAAAGACCTGACTGTTCAGCTCTTAGTTTATGTGCAAACTTTATCATGAATGTCAAAGTAGGACATTCAGTGCTCTGTTTAAAGAGTTTAGTTTAACTACATTATGGCAATAAAGGTCTATATTGAATATATTTACATGCAGCTTTGGTATTTATGGTAACTTCCTCATGGTAACTGTGCAGCTCTAAAAGCAGAACAAAAACATTGACACTGCCAGGGTTTCAGCTGGAAACCAGTTTATCCTGAAGGTTTAATCTGCTGCTGAAACAATAAGGTCATTCATTAAATAGTCCAGCAAAAAAAAAGAAGTAATCTATCACAGTAAGTGTCAAACGTTTACTTGTTTAGCTTTGCTATTTTTCTCACTTTAATATCACTGTAAACTGAAAATCTTTGGACTGTTGGATAAAACAATATGTTTGAAGAATCCTGGAAATTATGTTGGGCATTTTCATTCATGTCTGAAATTTTTAAAGACTTAACAATAAATTTATTAAGAGAAAAAAAGGGATTTATAATAGCAATGATCATTAATTGTAGTTTAATCACACAATGGACTTTGAACTTTGGTTTCTTCTTCAGTGAGCAGAGCGAGCGAGATTCGGTTCTATGGAGCAGTTTGTGTCAAGGTCACAGTAACCTTGTGTATGACTTTGTGTGCGTCCGGAGATCACCACGAAAGAGGAAACATGCTTGAATTCATCCGTTGTGCGGTTTGAATGGGACACAGAGGGATTTTTAGTACAGCCGAGACGTTGAAGCTTATGTCCAAAAAAATGTGCTGCTCACTGTGACTCCAGCACTGTTTGTAGTTAAAGAGCACGAAAACCTCCGTAACTCTGAGGAAGTGAAACTGAATCACACAAGCTGATCTCACTCACCAGACTGAGTATGTTTACACGCACACTAATCTGCCACTATAATTCTGAATATGAAAAACCAGCACTGAATAACAGCTGCAAAGACACACTAAGACGTTTACTGACAATAAATTGTAGATTTTTAACAAACTGTTGAACTGTTAAAAGTTTCAACTAAGTACACACTGCTGCTAAAGATGGCTGACAAGTCCAAAGGCTCCCTGAGCCCATCTGTAAACGTTTATATAAAGTGTCAAATGAAAGGTTTTCCTTGAAGTAATGCATGTAGTACAAGAACCGAGTTTTTTATGGGTCCAAAAGGGAGTTTAACTTCTCTTAATTCCCAAATGTGGCGTTATCCCAAGGATCGTTACAGTGCCACTGAAATCCAAAATTTGCCATTTGTCTTATTTGTCCAGACTTATTCTCATCTTTACTTTTGTCGTGACCTGAAAGGACATTTTGGGATTTCGGAGAGTGCGTTTATGAGGCTTCATCTACGAAGTGACAGAGTTTGAAAAGATGGAAAGCTAAAACCAGTTTGTTCCCAGTTGGCGCTCCTCTGTCCTCTAATCATTTATTTTACACGTGTTTTTTTTTGCGTTTTAAACAACAGCATGGTCGTTACAGTTAAACGAGATGGAAGTTTGGAGAGACGTTTAACATTTTAAAGGACAACTAGAACCGAAAAGCCACAAACAGGGTTGGAAATAAATGTCCTCCTGCCACTGTAGCTGCTGGACTCCTCAATGTACCAGCCACTCGGTAGATTTTTTTTAATTTATTTTTTTGGCTGTTGAGTGAAGCAGATGTAACAGCCACATGCATGCTTTAACAGCGTTTGGCTGGTGTTTGGTGCTGATTTCCAACCCTGGCCACAAACCTGTGAAATCAATGATTAGTGCAGAGAGATGCAGCCTCAGAAGGTGGTGGTGTTTAGTTGTACTCACGACCGTTCTTCTCTCCAAACCAGCACAAATTCAAACATTTAACTCAGCAGTTCCAAGGACGTCTTTCCACTCAGTACTCAGAGACACATAATTCATTCAGAGGGAATATATTTAGTCCCACCGGCAGCTCAACAGTATTTATTTCAGAGCTGATTTTATTTTTATTTTCCAATAAACTGGATCAGCGATTGCATCCTGAAGTCTTCCGGCGCCTCACTGTTGTGTTAGCAGCTGTGTGAACAGGAAACAGGTTTGGATTTAACACTCGTGGAGTTTAATTTTCCTGACTGCTTTTTTCATAAGCCATACTGTGTGTATATAGAGTGTAAATGTTCATGTGTATAGTTTTTCTATATGATACACTTGTATGCAATGTAAACGATTGACATTGAATGTCAGTAAAGTGAATGTACAACAACACTCTGACAGTGTGGTGTTTTTTTTTTCCAGTTGAACAATTAGAGTTAAAGGACTGGGTCAAAATTTTGAGAAATATATTTATTCTCTTTATTGCAGAGAGTTAGATGAGATGATCGACACCACCCTCGCGTCTGTGTGGTAAATACGAAGCCTCACCCAGGAGACGCTTAGCTTAGCTTAGCTTAGCTTAGCATAGCATAAAGACTGGAAACAGAGGGAAACAGCTAGCCTAGCTCTGTGTGAAGGAAACAAAACCTGCCGACTAGAATGATCTATCTTGTTTCTTTCACCTGTGTACAAACCAGGTTTAAAAATGACGAACTGTGCTCCACTAGTTGCCTCATGCTGACACCAAGACCTCGGGAAGTCACTGCTTTCAGCCGACAAATAAATGTGTTTCCCAAAATGTTAAACTTTTGAACAAAATGAACTTTGTGTTTCTGTTTTCATACTCAACTGAGGCAGAGGTGCAGAAATCAGAAGACATTTCTGTGGTGTGAAAACTCTCACAGTATCATGTCAGACAGTCACTTACATTAAAGGGGCATTACTCCACTGGAGTTAAAATACTTTGTCATCAAGTATAAAAAGTAATCAAACATGACTAAAGGCTTTGCATAATGAGTTTGCATTTTTCGTACATGTTTTTATGCCTTTGCAGTGGTAGGCGGGGCCAGAGGCATTATGTTTTCAAGCCGTCCGTCTGTCCCATCCTTGTGAAAGCTGAACCTCAAGAATGCCTTGAGAGAAGTTCTTCAAAATAAATTTGGCCATAATTCAATAATTCCTGTTAGTTATGACAACATTTCACATAAATGTCTAAGGGGTCGCACACATGCTGCGTCTTTAATCACCTGGAGAATGCATGGTCAGGTGCTGGCCACTACTCTTGTGCCCTACTACTCTGAAGGTTGCGGCAGCAGGTTGCATCTGAGGTTGCTAAGTGATCATAACCAGCACTGTATCATAACCTATTCACCTGAAATCCTGAGTGCAGAGCTGATCTTCCTCCACACATTGTTTTTTTAGTGTGTATTAGGCCCGAAATATCGTCTGTGAGACAGATGTAAAGCTCTGACAGCTCTGCACTAACATGATGAACTCCATATTTATCACAGACTGATATTTAATGATGAAGGGACAGATATCAGTCGGCTGTGATTGGCTGGTCCTCATTGCATAACATGCAGTGTGGACTGCTGCATTCCAGGGTGCAGCCATCAAACCCTAACAAAAAAAAAAAAAAAAAAAGGCGTTTGGGAATGTGTGTGCGTCACTGTGGTGTTTGAGTGCGTCTGCTGCTCGTCTACATTGAAAACAATGAATTTGAGGGTGCAAACAACACAGCATGTGTACGGCTCCTGATAGGATAAAACAAAACAAACAAACCAGGTGATTTAGGATGTTTTCACATATAGTTCTCTTTAAGCGAACCAAACTCAGTCCTCTTAAAGTGCACCAAAAAGTGGACCAACAGAGAAGGGACTCAGTTCTCTCTCTGGTCCACTTCAGCTCTGATGGCTCTCAGTCCTCTCTCTGTTCACACTATGTATAATACATATTGACACAGTTGTGTTTTTACTTTGACGCTGTACTGCAGTGTGGTTATGAAGCCCCTCGCTTTCAGATGAACTTAGAACTGGAGGAAAACCTTAGAGTTAATGTATTCTATATTCCACATCTGGAGATGTGCGGTATCTTCTGTGGACCAAACTACTCCTCGTCCTGCGTCCTTGCAAGTGTTCCAGGCTGACGTGATTCTGTCTGTTTTTTTTAAAAGTGTCCCAGGTCAACAGCGTGTGATCTAGAGGGCTGAATACATCGGCAAAGAGCAAAGCAGCGAAGGAGCGCTTTGTGTTCACAGTGCACAGGTTAAGTGAACCACACCGCGGACTTGGTGCAAACCGAACTCAGACCACTTCAAGAGGTGGTCTGAGTTCAGTTCGCTTCAGAGGGGTCTGAGTTCTCTGGAGTGTTCACATATGTGCAAAAATGCTGAGTCACCGCTCTGAGTCCGCTTAGAGGGCTGAAAAGGACTTAATGTGAAAACACCCTTAAAATGGTTCGAACACTGAATAAAGCACTTTCACGTTCAAAAATGAGTGTTTCACTGACGCTGCTTGTTGCAGATGGACTTTGAACTAAAAACTAAACAACTAAAATGTGAATGACCTTGTCTTGGTTTGTCCGTTCTGGGCTACTGTAGAAACATGGCGGTGCAACGTGGATCACTGTAGACGAGGACCTGTGTAGATATAAACATCTCATTCTAAGGTAACAAACTTTTTTTTTTTTCATGTAGTTCCAGTGGAAAACACTTTATTTTGTTCAGTTTCTGCCAACACATCTGCCTAGTCCTACACACTGGACCTTTAGGAAGTTACAACTGTCGTGAGTCAAAACTGATCTGACCAAAATATATTTATTGTTGTTTCACAACATGACATTTGTGATTCAGTGTTTACCTGGTAAACATACCGTCAGCACCAACAGGAAAACATGAATTATCAGCAGCAGGATGGTTTAATAACAAAGACAAAGTTAAAGTAAATATTATATTTGTTTAAATAGAAAATCTGCAGCAGTGAACTGCATAATAATTTTGCTATGTAACGTGTCTTTAGGGAATGATCTGATGAGAGAAAGGCAGAGAGGTCAAGTACTCTGGGTGTGGAGGTATCCAGGTGGAGCAGGTGAGTGAACACCTAACACCTGGAGGGGTTCAGTGTTGGAGGGGGGTCCTGTGCCCCACAGGATCTGCTGTGAGGGCCTGAAGGGGAGGTCGTACTGAGGGACACTGAACGCCTTCAGCTTCTCCTTACAGGTCTGCAGCAGGAGGTCGTACTCCTGCAGGTCACATGTTTACATCATCATTAGCAGAGTGTGAAATTAAACTCTGCAGCAGTGATTACTCTCGGTCAACCTTTTAAAGTTACTGACCTTACAGTCTCCAGCCAAGTCGCTCTGCAAGGCGCTGATGGCGACCTGTTTAGACTCCAATACTTCCTACAAGCAAGAAAAACACATACTATGATTCTATGACATAAAAAGGGCAATGGAGAGATATGTATATGTGTGTGTGTGTGTGTGTGTGTGAGTGAGGATGTGAACACAAAATGATTGGCTCTATAACCTTTATTCAAACTCTTCCACTGTGCGGGAATGCTGGCATCTTCAGCCGACATTACTGTCTCTGAGTTTTAAAGGTATAGTTCAGACTTTATGAAGTGAGGTTGTATGGGGTACTAAGCCTTAGCCAATATCACCTCCAGTAGATGTCAGTTGGCACACCCAGTTTGGAGAAGCAGGCTGGAGTCAGACATTCACTGCTTTACCTTTCCGTCAGACAGCGCTCTCCAACAGGGAATGGCTTCAGTTTTGCCTCTTTGCTTTCGTCAAAGCCACCAGACTCCATTGACAAAAACAGTTAATTTTAGCTCACTGATCACAGGAGCTGCTGGTCTGCTGCTGCTTCAGTCAGTTAGTTAGTTAGTGTTACTGTGTGACTTTGAATCTGAACTAAATCTTTTAAACATTAAAGTCACACAATGACACGAACCAACCGACAGGTCGAGGCAGCAGCAGACCAGCAGCTCCTGTGTTCAGCGATGTTAAATCACTGTTTTTCTCAATGGTGTCTGGCTTTGAAGAGAGCGATATAAAGGCTTCATTTTCCAGTTGGAAATCACTGACATTAATGTAAAGCTGTGGAAATATTGTAAATGTAGTGTACACATAAACTGACATTGATTTTATTAGGTGAGACTTTTTGTAGCTGGCTAAAATCTTGTTTTGTTGCTGCCCCCTCTACAGCAGTACATTGCTCAGCTCCCATAGACTCCAGCCTGCTCCAAACTGGGGGCATGTTGACTGACATCTGCTGTGTGTAATACACTGTCTATGGATAAGTACCTCACACAACCTCTCTTCAGAAAGTCTGTAAAGTCCCTTTAATAAGACAATAAATTTACAAAAATATTGAATTTAAAATTTGTAGTTTTTTGGAAGTTGTTGCATCTCCATTTGTAATTTTCAACCCACACCTGCTCTCTATTCTGTCAGACAAATGAGCCGCAGTTATTTTTGAATGCACATTTTAACTTGTGCAAAAATAAACTTGAAATGAAACGTGGATATAAAACTGTACCTCAAGTTTGTTTGTGGCGCTGCTGCCTGCAGTTTGGTCGACGTTAGAGGACGCGAGTGCGGTGCAGAGCTGAGCCTCCGTTTTCTCGACTGTTCCCGTCAGCGCTGCCAACTTCTTCTCCAGCAACATCTCCTTCAGGCCGCTCTTCTGCTGCATGTCCAGGATGGCCTCCCTCTGCTTCTTCAGCAGGTCGTCACGCTCTTGCTGAACCTGAAGAAGGCATGCATATGAAGACCTGCTGGGCTGAATGAAGGTAAAAGTTATGGGGATGTGATCGTTTACCTTCTCAAACGCCTGCAGCAGCATCTCGTGCTCCATTGTCAGGTCTCTCAGCTCCTTATCGATGACCTTCAGTCGAGCTCTACTCCTCTGTCAGACACATTATCAGCAGTTTGGAGGAAAATTAGTATGTTTTTTTTTATGGCGTTCATAGTTTCAGTCAGTTATAACATTTTATCTGCTTCACTCTACTTTAAAGTTGTTGAATAAATCATCCAATAAAGTACACTACAGCAGTGTGGCAGGTAAAAGTACACACTGGTATTAATGCTGCAAATTTAGATTAAAATAGCCATCTCTTGGCACAGTGGCACAGTCATAACGATGTTTAGTGTGTCCTGATGCTCTCTGAGTTCTGTGCAGTGAACGCACCGTCTCCTTGTCCTTGGCCTGGTTGTATTCTTCCAGCTGCTGTTGGAGCTCGGGCAGCTTCTCTTCGGCTTCCTGCAGCGACTCTCGCAGATGTTTGTTCTTCTGCTCGGCTGCTGAAAGCTCTTTCTTGACTTGTGCGTGCAACTTCGTCAACTTTGCAAGTTCCATCTACCAAAGAACAAAACGACCACGTGGCACAGAAAAGGAGAGACACGTAAGAGCTTAGTTTACGAGCTGTGGTCAGGACAACCCAGAAATAAATGTGATGGAATAACACAGGTGTTTTTTATGAGTGACGCAAAATTCAGAAACATCTATTTGAACAAAATACAAAATATTTGTGACTTTTTTTATCATAGCTCCAGAGACCTTTTCTGCTTGAGCAAAAGAACTATTTGCAAACTGTGATTATTTGAAGGTGGAGAAAAATGTGTTTAAAACTCTGACTGGCTGAAGAGACGCAGTGGTAAGAAAATGTATTCATGCATAAATCAGCCATTCCTCAGAAGCAAATCATTAATCAAAATGAGAGCTGATTTGTTGTACTAAACTATTTATCCTCTCTGGTTTTGCTCATCTGTTCAGTTTGTGTCTTCTTTCTCTCCGTGGGGAGTTTCGTACCTTCAGAGACTTCTGATCCTCCACTAGTTTGTTTTCATGGAAGGAGAAGTACTCCTCAGCCTTTTTGAAAGCGTTGGTTTGGTCTTCTTTCAGAGTCACAGCCTGACGTTGCAGTCTTTCCCTGAGGTTATCAGCTTCAGCCTCCAGCCTCTTTTTCTCCGTTGACTTCATTGACTGCATTGTCTTGTCGTATTTCGCCTCAATTTCTATTTTAATAGCAACAGAAGGGGAAACGTTTATTACAGTTTATGACTGTAGTTTTTTAAATTCAACTCAGAAATGGAAATTGGGTTTATTAATTCACCCATTACTCTTCTTCCGTAGTCGTTCCTCAGCTCTATTAACTCCACCTGGTGTTTCTGTTGAGAATTAAAAGGCCACAGGTTTGTGATACAGCTGATAAAAATAAGAGACAACTGAATGACAAGAAAAACAAAGTGTAACAGTGGAGCCAGATTCACCAGGTCGAGCTCCGTGATGAGGTTTTCGTTGTGGAGCTTCTTCTCTCTTAAGTCCACCTGCAGGCCGTGCACCTCCCTCCGGAGCTTGAGCTCTGACTGTGTGTGCTGGTTCTGGATCAGCGAGGTTGAGATGACGCGGCCCGTCTTCATCTCGGAGATGGTGTTTTGGTGTTCGAAGAGGACGTGCTTCAGCTTCTGCTTGTACTCCTGGACACCAAACCATCAAACAAGGTGTTACGATGTGAAATTCATTCAATGATCAAATGTGTTTTTACTGTGAAAATGACTCTGACGTTCAGTCTACTCAGTTTGATCAGTGAAATCATGTCATGATAATGTGATCATGTCCTGTTATGTTTTACACACAAGACTACTAGAAAAGCAAATATGGTTTCTTTCTTTGCAACATCGCAGATATATTTTTAAACCCACACTGCCTTTGATTTATCATCAGAATGCAACAGTGCACAAAGTCTCAGACATGTGAAGAATAATTTAAAGAATATTTCTGAGGGTTAAAAAACAGAGTGGACACATAACAGAGAATGTACAGTCTGCAAGTTTTGACAGATGATAGTGTGGCCATATCAGACTGTACAGTACTGAGAAGCAATATTAAACAAAGTAAATATATTTATTAATTTGTATATTTACTTATTTTTTTAATTTTAACAGCTCTTAAATTTTCTTCTGGTTACTTTTGTTTCTCTTATTCTCTAAACTTGTCAGCATATAATCAAAAATACAGTGTAAAAACTGAGAATGTATGAAATATTCCAGTAAAATACAAAGTAAGTGTCTGTATGTGTGCGCGTGCAGCTCACAGTGATCTCCACTCGGTGGCGCTCCTCTGCCTCCTCCCTCTCCCTGTGTCTGTTCCTGATCTTGGCCTTCGTCTCCTCCAGGCTCCTCTTGGAGATTTCCCAGAAGGCCTGGATCTTGTCCCTCTCCAGCTGGAAGTAGCTCCTCTCCTCCCGCTCTCTGTCCAGCTCCTCTCGGAGGCGGACGATGTGCTCCTCCAGCTGCAAGGTCGCACACGTTTGTGTCAGTTTTGTGTGAGCTCAAACACAGGTGATGAGTTTACCTGCACACAGCCGGTGACGGCAGCACCGTGCAGCACATACAGTAGAGCCAGGGCTGCAGGTTGTGTGGTGAATATGCGATAACGTTGTTTAATACCACGATAACGATATTTCTTCCGATTAATAAACAGAGAGTGCACTCAGTTTTCAGCTGCTCTCACTATACTTCTAAAATACAACAAATTCCTTGTTGAATTTAAAAAATTAGGGAAATTATTTCCACCATTGTTTTATTAAACAATTTTAAATGAACACAAAGTTCACCAATAATGACCAGAGTGCAGTTTTCTACTGATACTCTCCTTCAACTAACTCAAAAAATCTTTGGGTTCAATATCAATATGATGTGTTTATTGTGACAGCTGACATCATGATGATTAAAAAATATTTTGTGCAGCCATAGTAAGAGCTTGCTAATCAGTACTCCTGAACTACCTGTTAGTACCCATTCGTTTTTTTGTTTTGTTTTTTTTTGGTTTTTTTTCATTTACAGGTAAAATCACAGAGTCACATCACAAGATGTCTCAAAGGTCAATAATCAGTATTGTTCAGGCTTTAAAGATCCCATTAGAGGCGGGTGATATGGCCCTAAAATAATATCAGTATATTTTAGGGTATTTTTGTGATAACGATATTTGTGATGATATGACAAGTTAGTAAAAAAATATTTTATTATTAATTTAAGAACATAAAATTGCAACAGAATTAGTGATATAGTTTCACAGTTTGCTTCAAATATTCAGTAAAAACTAAAATGATGTTTCATTTCTTTAGTTTGTGAACAACAACAGTAACTCGGAGTCAGATTCAGATTCTGTTACAATATTAAATGGCCAGTGTGTAAAATGGGTTGAAAACAGTGACATCAGTGGTCAAATTCTAGATTGCAGGGCTCACTCGCTCACCCCTCCCGTCGGGTAAATGACGGTGGCCTCGTAGGGACAAAAAGCCTTG